AGTGGAATGATATTGTAAATTCTTGCATGGGAAGACATGTTTTTTGTAACCCACTGTGTGGTACTTTGGCTTAACTTCTCAGCAATTACATTTGTTCTCAGTGACATTTCAGAGGCTTTTACAAAATCTCAGACATTTTTTCTGTGAAAGTTCAAGTTACTCACTGCAACAAAACAAAGAATTGTCTTCTTCACTTAGCTGACATTTACCTCTTCCCTCTGGACAGTCACAATGCAAGATGTTGGCTTTCATTCACCTCCAATTAGGCGCTTAGGCACAAATTTAAAAAATCAAGTGGAAAATCCCCCGTCATATTTATTCTCAGGGGACACAGACCAACCGTAAAAACCTGTCTGTTGTGGCAGATTTGGAGCTTAATTAGTTGGAGAAATCTCATAGTGCGTGACTGTGACCTTTAACACTACTTTCACAATCTTTTCTCAATGATTTGTGTCCACTGTGTCAGTTGAACCTTATGTGGCTTGCTAACTGAGGGCGTTCAGCACAGTGAAGATTAAGGTTATGCAGTGGGGGTGAAGAATGGTGACTGGTGGTGTTTTGTGTGGACACGGGTCAACAATCGGAGGCCGGCTTCCTCATGGGGCTCAGAGTGTTTTGGGCTCATGGTGTGGAAAGCAGCTTTTCCTCCTGCCAGCTCCTGCGGCCTTTCCACAGTCCCTGGGGTGTGTTTTGTGTCGGGCTGCAGGTCAGCGGTGGTGCTGTTTCAGGCCATCAGGTTGTTTTCTTTACCCTCTCTGTCCTGGCCACACTCTCTTACAGGAGGAGCCAGACATGGCAACTCAATGCTTTGTGGCCCTCCTCTCATCTAGAAAATGAGGCGACTGCTATTCATTGTGGTTATATCAGCAGCAGGAGTCTGTCAAACACACACATTTCAACTCTCATCAATATGAGGAGAAATATGCGATTCCTCACTTGTATACCAGCACTTCGTTGCTTGAGGGTCCACATCGTGAGTCAGCTGTAACTCCACAAATTGAGAGTGCTTAAAAAGAAGTTATTAAGCAAACACAGAAGTCGAAAGAGTTAGAAGTAATGGATGAAATGGTAAATAAAAAATAAAAGTGATAGTTAGCTAGAAATAATGTTTCAAATAGTTAGCTAAAAGCAACAGATAAACAGTTCACATAATAAGCTAAAGCAGTTAAAATGAACAGATAAATCGTGAAATAACTGGAAGTGATGTATAAATGGTTGAATCTAGGGATGTGTCAGTGTTAACCATTCATTGATTAACCTCCAAGAATATTTTTGAGCAGTTATCCATGTTTGTCCATGTTAATTAACATAATGTTACACACTCAGCTAACGGCTTTGCTAGCTACCAGTCTGAGGTAAAAAATGAAGCATGCTAAATGAAACTCGGTTTGGGAACATTCCCAATAGAAAGGCAACTAAGTCAAATGTGTTGCTATTAGTGGAAAGAGTTTCATAAAAGTGGTTAAAATGGACCTCTAAAAGTATGGATAAACAGTTCAAATATTTAATTAAAAATGATGGATAAAATAAAATTGATAAATGCTGCAGTTGAAATAAAGCGGTTATTCATCTGCCATGTCAGTGGGTGTACTTCTGGAAAAAAAAGAAGACGCTCGGGCCACGTGTTGTTTTTCTTTTATGTTAGCTTAACAACCGTATAAGTATGGGAGGGTGGGCTTTTCCTTTAACCCTCAACCCAAACCCTAACCCTAAACCAGCAGTAACCCCTTGAAGAAATTTAAACAGGCCAAAATGACTTCATTTTGCAACAATGTTCTCACACCAAATATGTAAAATACAACTCTCTCTCTTTCTTCTCCTTTGTCTCCCTCTCTCTCTAACACACACACACACACACACACACACAGCCTGGCGATCTCTGCGGATTGTGGGGAAAAGGCTTTCATATCATACACATCCCCGTGACAGCTGCTGTATACTGTCACTGATCCAGAAATTTCTTTCACCATTTCAAAAGATCATCATTATCTTAACAGTGATGAAGGATTTAAAACAGCACAACGCTGCACATCCTGAGATCCTGTAGATTAGCTCTTTGCTGCTCTAGGTACTGTAGATGCCTAAAGTGATTTCTTAGAGGAGTTTGGTGTTTGTGTCTGTGTCTGTGTGTGCGTGCGTGCGTGTGTGTGTGTGCGTGTGTTAACTGTTAAAAGGTGTCACAGGCCCTCCTGTTGCTTTACTTTATTGAACTTGTCAGGGTTAAGGGTCATGAGGTCGACAGCTCCTCTAAAAGCGCAGAGGGACAGAGAATTAGAATTGGAGGAGGACAGGAATAATGGCAAGCGGAACCTGAAATGTCTTTAGTACCCTTCGGGTTGACAGAGATTAAGCTTTACCACCAGCCTGCCTGTCTGCTTTGATCCATCTTGTAAAGTTGTTTTCCAACTATCATAATGTGGGGTCAACCTTTCAGCCCCAGTGCTGCTATTTCCCCCCAAATTCTGGCAGTGGCTCATATCCTCCTGGCTTCAGGTAAACACACACAGCAGGCTGCACTTTCTCCCTTCTTTCTCCTCTCTTGCTCACATCAACTGTATGAAGACAAAAGTAGTCCAGCTCCCTACAGGTCCCTCACAGCTGTGCAGACATTTTTTTTAAGACTCTTTAAATGATCAACCCATGGTGAATTTGAAGCAGCATACATTCTCGTGCACAGATGTGCAGATGTATGCAGATGTCATTATATTGCCAGAACAGTTGAGAGGTCTTTAAAATGACAGATGCCAGATGTCTGTGGCCTAGTGACCTTTATGTGACCTGCGGACCTTTGCACAGGGTGAAACGTGTGTCTTTTAAAAGCTTCACAACTATCAACAATCAGTCCCTTTAAATCAGTCATTCTTTCTCTCTCTTCTATCCCTTCTCCTTTTCTTTTCTCTACTTTTTTGTCAAATGTTGGGCTACAACTGCAACTTTAGCAATTCATCTGTTTAATTAATGTTTAATTTTTTTTGTTGGACCGGCGGTCCAAAACCCAAAGATATTCAATGCTAGAGAGCAGAGAAAAGCAGCAAATCCTGATGCTGGAGAAGCTGAAATCAAAGAAAGGATGAGAAAGAGCTGCTCTTTTCCCCCACTCCTTTATGTTTTAGCGTTACAACCACTAGCAGAATTATATGCGAAAGGTCAATATAGATTTAAATTATTTGCAGATCATCTTTTGATGTACTTAACTTGCTTGGAAAATCCATACTGCCTTATTTTATAATATGTATTAGGTTTTAGTTTATAAAATTAATATGGAAATAAAAGCAAATAATGCTAGTAGAAAATATAACAAAAAAACATACAAAATTCAAGACATAACACATGAGATACAGTAATAATGCAAAAAATGTATTGTCATAAATCAGAAACACTGGCAAATCATTTTCAGTCGATTAACTAATTGATTAGTTTACATTATTGTAATCTCAATTTTAATGGCTCTTTAGTCATGGCAAAATGTAAAGCACTGGTGTGAGCATTAAGTGTGACATCATTCTTATTACTCTAAGTACTTTTATTCCAAGAGATTAGGGGTAAAATGTAGATCCAACTGTTCTGGCTGCATAAATAAAGTAAGTAAAAGTTCCGATTTTATGGTGTTTTATACTTTGACACAAAAAAAACAACCCATATTCTTACTGTCAGTATCACAATATATCCCCGTATATAGATTCATACCCTCTGTATTATGATGTGTATCATATTGCCAATACACAGCCCTACAAGAGGTAATACTGCCAGTTTCAAGGGGTAGTTTCATTTGTATGTAGTAAATAGTATAGCCAAAGTTATGCCCTCAGCATACTGTAGTGTCTCTAAATGCCAAAGTAGCTGAAAAGGCGACCAAACACCTGAAAAACCAATGACACGCCCATCGGTTATGCTTTGTGTTTAGTACTAGCTAGTTAGCAAAGGATAGCATGCTAATAAACTAAACCTAGGTGACAAACAAGGTAAACATTGCCTGCTTAATATCAGTGTGTTAGAATTGTTATTGTTAGCATGTTAGCACGCTGATCATTTATTTAGCCCAAAGCACCACAGTGCAAGTATCGCTTCACAGAGACACTAGCCTGGCTGTAGACTTTCTTTTTCTGTCTGCAGTGGTTACTGGTGTTAAGTGGAAACCCATGCTGACAGTGTACTCTACCTCATCCCCGACCTATCAAAGCATTTTTATGTGACACTTTTATATGTTTCTTTTCATCTCACTATATCTTATTCTTACTTTTGACAATGTGTCATACTGTTTTCGTTTGACACTTCCACAGTACAAGCATTGACTTGGGATGGGTTTTACTTTATGAGCAGATTCTTACAAATAGTGATGTTTTTACTGTCACTGGGACATGAAGGAGATGTTGCCCCCTATACTATTACCAGATGGGTGTGTTGGGTAGGAAAGATCTTGCAGCTGGACCCCACGCATAGAGATGATCTCTTTATCCTGGGATTGTCCCAGAGGGAAGGACGTTGGTGCCAGGGAGCAAGGGAAGGATAGAGGGGGGGTTGGTAGAAGGGGGTAATGCTGAGATGAATTAATATTTGGGGAGCCTCAAGGGTCGTTCCAAAGCAAACTCCCTGCAGAGGCCCTGGGCTCTGGGCTCAACATTAAAATCCCAGGTTCCATCAGTATTCAATAAAGTCTTGGTCAGAAATAAGAAAAGAAATAGCAGCTTAACTTCAAACAGTCTCTGAGTTAGAGCTTAAAGCTGTTTTTCCCTCAAATCTTGGATAAGAAGTTTTTAAGTACAAAGTGTTCATGAGTTATTTGAATTCTTGTGTTGCCATTGTTGTTGCCAAGATTATTTTAGTGACATTTTACTTTACTAGAGTTGAGCCTGACATTTAAACTTGGGGAGTGAGAATGAGGAAGACAGTTTACTAGGGTGTCCGTGAAGCCTTTTTGAATATGTAAAAAGCATGGTCTCTTTCTCTTCTCTCTTTCTTCTGCTAACTTTACTTATTTTATTTGTTTTTCTATGTTCCAGGGGGCTGTTCATCACTATTCATGACCGTGGCCATATTTCTACACTGCTCCAGAACTGGCCAGAAAAGGACATCAGGGTAAATTATATCAACTTCATGTTGTTCTAGCACTCCCAACTCACAAAACCCTTGGAAACTAAGTGTTGCTCTGTAAGACTGCACAAATAAAGCAGAAGATAACAATGTATGTGTGCAAAAATGCAAAGTGTAAGAATACCGGAAGTTTTTGGTCGATTGGCCCAGTGGTCAACACAAATTGAGTGATGAGAGATACTCAAATGAGTAAATTATAACCCTATTAAATGTTGTGTGTGTATCCAAAGTCTGATGCAGCTTATTCCTCTGTGCTATAGAGCTCCTCTCCAACAACGCTCAAAAACACAAAACAGAACAACTCTCTTGCACTGGGTGACATGTTCTTTCATTACCAATAACATGGGCACTGTCTCCATGGAGGTGTAAACACATGCATGCAAGCGTCCCTAAAATAACTCTCCCAGTTTCCCAATCATTTAGATTTTTAAAAAGGAAACTATATGTTTGTAACCTACTTACATATGCTCTTAGTAGGAATAAATGGGCTTGTGCTAAAAGCCAGAAGAGACGAGGAGTAGAAGTAAGATACTGAGAGGCTAATGTATTATTGGTTTTGGTCTTTACATGGAATTTTGTGACAAATTTAAAAATATAGAACATGACCAGGCTCGTCATTGAATGTAGATTACCATACAATATTGTTTTTTAATATGTAAGGATGATACAACATCAACAATCAAATGTCAAAGTAAATCAGCAGTAGGATGTAGCAAAAAAGTACAAATAGAAACCAATCCAGTAATAACACATGTTGCTATGGTGTGGAAAAGGCATAGATTATCTCTATGGAGTTACACTCCCAAAAGAGATGCTTTCACAACTTTAGGATAAACTATCTTGAGTGAAAGCAGTCCTCCATACTTAAAAAGAAAAAAAAACAGAAGTTAGTGTTGTATAAAAGCACTAAAGATAGTGTTTAAAACTCCTGCACACTACTTTACCTTTTTGTGAGTTGAAGGTGGTGGACCATAGACCTGAATGCAAGGTTTCTCATGTGAAATTACAAGTGAAACTGTGCCACCTACATTGAGTTAACATTTCATTGTGATAAAAAACACAATGTTTTTATTAATTTTTGAAATAAAAGGCCTGCCATCTTACACCAGGCTGATATTAAAACTAGTGAGTGATCTAAATCCAGTGATCAGTTTGGGATTTCATATTTCAGTATTGGTTGTCTTGACTTGCTGTATTGGCCAATTTCCCAAAAGCCTGAAATATTCCTTTAATCTTCTGTATAGAGCAACTATGTGCAAGTCATAATCTAGTCATATTTAGAATGACGAAACCAGGAGGCATTCCTGGCATGTCAAATATACCTGCAGCCTCAGCCACCTGTTCACAGCTGTCAACAGCAGGGCATTTACCTCACTGCTGACATGCCGCCTCCCGTTGTCAGGGTGGTCTTATCGTAGGACTCACCTAATATGGCCTACTTTTAACATTTCCATTGAGAGAAGGAGCCAAGGTAGTCATCCACTGATAAGCCTTGGCAGCCTTTCTGTCACATATTAACAAGTGGTAGTTGGAAAAAATAGCTGTTAATGGTATTAAGTATGGTCATTATGGATTTTAAACATTGAAATGGGAAAACTAATGATACTCTTTAAACCTGTCAGTTGGTGGGAGGAACAGGGCAGTAAAACCTTTATGCCAGAGTTATCTGCGTCACACCGATGCTGGAAAAAGAAAAACACTCAGAATTAGGAACATTTCAAATTAAACACTTCTGCTGCTGATATTAAGTGTTGCACAATTGATTTGTTTCATGCTGTGGAATCAACCCAGAGGAACGTATTTATTGCTTAATAAGTAAAGTGACTAGTGAGTGGAAAGCCAGGAGGGTGTAGGAGGACCTGGCTTACACTGAGGGGAAAAAACATGTTTCTGGGTAACAGGGTGGACTTGTTTTAGTAAAGAAGGTTTGAGCTCCTGACACATGGAGGCAAAACTGCTGCTTTATTTATTTTCTCATTAAATTAAATGCAAAAATGTGATATAAAATCTAATTTCAGAATATCCTGCATGTAGCAGCATAATACACAGATTTAAATTGAGGAGGTGGTTGATGTTGCTACTGTAGTTCATGGCTGACAGTTGTGTTGATTGACAGGCGGTGTGTGTGACGGACGGTGAGAGGATCCTGGGCCTGGGAGACCTGGGCTGCTATGGCATGGGCATCCCAGTGGGCAAGCTGGCCCTCTACACAGCCTGTGGAGGTATGCCACCACAGCAGTGCCTGCCTGTCATGCTGGATGTGGGCACAGACAATGAGGTAAGAGCTGAGGTCTAACTATAAGTGACTGTTTGTTTGCAGAATAATAAGCAACTTGTTATATTGTGTTATATTGTGTTATAACATCACAGACCAATTATTACAGGTGGGAAGTAACATTTTCTCATTAACTGTACCCCAGTATAATTTTATGCAGCTAGATGTACTTAATGCTTATGTTACAGAATAAATAACACAATATATAAAGTAGGTAAAATTAGCTTCAGTGAACCAGCCACAATATAGCATGCCATCTGGCAATGCTAATGGAAATGCTAACATGCTGATGTTTAGCAGGTACTATAATATATGCAATACCATGTTCACCATCTTAGTTTAGTATGTTAGCAAGCTAACATTTGCCAATTAGCACCAGCAGCAAGTAAGGATTAAATAATGGTATATAGATATAGGTTTGGGCAGAGCCAGGCTAGGTGTTTCACACTGTTTCCTTTCATTATGCTAAGCTAAGCTAACTAACTCCTGGAGTACAAACATAAGAGTGCTATCAATCTTCTTTCCTAACTTTTATCAACAAAGTGAAGAGGCTTATTTCCCAACTTATATTTTTGTAGTATGGTATTGTTATTTACTCAAGGAAAGGGAATTCATTTTGGAAACACTTGCAAGTTATCAGTGAAATACTAAGTATTTTTAGTACAGATGCTTTTCTTTTCTGTTGCTTACCTTCCACATAGAGGCCAGAGATGAAGGTTATTTTCAGAGCTGTGTCTTGCTCAACTCAAGGTGGATTACATTAAATTAGACCAAACTGTAACAATATCTTTGGGGAAATATGGTCATTATAGCCCCACATAGTAATGATCAAGTGTGCTTGGTCTCCCTGCTCACCTCTCAACTCTAATGCCCCAGACCCCTGAAACCCAAAATATTGCTCCAACAAATTAACATGCCATGAGAACATGATGGAGTATGCCAGAAGGGAAATGCTGTTTATCCACCGTAGCCAGGTAGACCTTGCCTCAGAAATCAGCCAAGGAAAAGAAAACAAATCTAGGAAACACCCTCTACATAACAGAGGTAGGCAGCTTCATTGATGGATGCCAGCTGGGAAAGCACCTCTCCTCTCTGCCAGCCTGTGAGTGTAGCAGCCAACAGAGCTACAGTTACCTACCTATGATCCATATTCTCTATGGCAGCATCTCTGAAAGATGATTCAAACTCTGGGCAGGGCAGCACATGAGCCCATAGCCTTAAACAGACCAAGAATAGTCTGTGTGCACTTCTATATATACACAACTTTCAGGCCTTGGCCAAAGGCGTGGCAGCCTCAGATGCCTGTGTGCCCGACAACAGCTGAGCTCAGCCTGTCAGAAGCTGTCCTTCATTTTCCAAGACAGTCCTCTCATGACTCAGTCCCTGGAGTTCAGTTTCAACCCTAGCAAATGTCACAAGTAGATTAAGGATGAGAGATGCTGCGGAGGATAGATGACTTTGCAAATAAAATTAAGCAATAAATGCAAGTAGCAAAAAGAATATGGAAGAGTTGGACAGATACCACTGATTTAGTGCAGGTGATATATTATCAATGCTATAGCATCCTTGAAGGCCTGAGATCCCTCTGTGACAGCACTTACCCAATACACAGTTTATCAAAGTTCTCCAGGTCACAGCAGAAATCCCCTTTCATTATAACAACAGAAACACTGCAGTCTTCCCAGAAAGCCTATAAAAGATATTACATCGCTACATTAGTTCTTTTTGTGCCATTGAAACTGGATTAAGAGAGGAAAATCGTCTCTAATTCTGCCAAGTCCTCCACCTTAGCTCTTTATCTTTATAGGCCTACAGTATGTAGCTCTACCTTTCGACCTCTTCCTCTACTGGCATCTCTATGTGATTTAAGTTTCCACATTGAGTGATTCTGGTTTAGGTTGATAATAGCATCTGCAGATTAGATTCTTGGGTGCACCGCAACAGCTTTAGACATTTATGGCTATCACAACACAACTTTAACAAGATGTCACAAAGTCTTTGATCCATGCTTGCCTCAGTCTGCCTTGTACCTAAGAAGAGAAAACACTTACTTGTGTGTGTATAGGCACGTGTGTGTCAGTGAGCATGGATCATTGACAGTATATATAATGGACAGAGCTTCCAGGTCTTGAAAGTAAGGCCAAGGCGGAAGTGTCTTAAATCCTGCATTATATGTAAAGGCCAGCAGGGGGAGTTCCATTGGCTGCAATAAAAAACAATACCATGCACTCGAATGGAGAAATTACTGACTTTTCACTTGATTTATTTACCCAGTAAACAGTTTCCTAATGAGTTTATGGTCTCAATCGCTAGTTTCATGTCTTCTTCCATACAGCATGATGTTCATTATTATGGTCCAATTTAGAGTAAAACAGACGATAAAGCCGCGTATGCTTTTTGGTGTGGCTACCTTATGATTGACAAGTCATTCTCAGATCAAACTGTCAAACTAGGCAGTGCTAAAATATGAATCAAGATTCTGTTACTACGTTGCCTATTTCACACCTAAAATGTCTTCAGAAACATATTTTAGTGTACTGCTTATCTGTAATACAAGATCATGTGTGATCAGGCAAACCGACATTGTTTTCTTCTACGGACAAGTCAAAACTGTGCAGCCAATGAGCGTAGATCACCTCTGATGTCTCTGACAAGAAGCGACGGTCAAAACGCCAAACTCAAGACATCAAAACGGTATTCCACAAACCAATGGGTGACTTCACGATAGGTTCACACTTGGCATGGATGCAGGGCTCATGGGTGTTGCAGCTGAGGTAGCACTGTTGGGCTTCAACCATAACAACTTCAAATAGTTAGAGATGTCATAGACATAGTTAAGCATACACATATTCACTTTCTTTCCAAGAGTTAAATGAGAAGATTGATACCACTGTCATGCCCGTGTTAAGTGTGTATTCTGGTTCTGTCTAAAGTTCAAAATAACAGTTCCTAACAGCTCTAGAGCTCACAAATGAACACATTGTAAATTGTTTGTTTAACCCATATACAAACATACATGTTAATATGGCAGTTTATGTTTTTTTTTTTTTTTCATAAATGTTTTTTATTCATTTGACATGCAAAAGTAAATGCAATGGGAAATAAGGACTTTTTCCTTTTCCAAAAACAACAACAACTACTAAGCATTTCATTTGTCCTGTAGTGTCTTTAATTTGGCTCTGTAATTAATCATACAGCCCCAAACAGAATCAAATTTTCCAGGTGTCCCCCTCAGATGATGCTTAATTTTCTCCAGGTCTAAGTACAGCATGAGGTCCTTAAGCCACATGGAAGCTTTGGGGGCAAATGGTGACTTCCTAGTTTATGGTTTTAGGAGAAGTTACACGCTCCTGTAATGTGATTTCTTTTTTCAGTATCAAGTTAACTTGGTGCAGGTGCTGAAGGAGTCAGGGAGATAGGTAGTCCCTATTAAAAAAGAAACTAAAATACATACAAAACATTGTTGCAGTTGTTTAAAGGCACCTTTGACAGAGCTGGGCTGAGTAACAGAAGTAATATAATGAGAAGGGTAGACAACTGCCTTTGCTGTACTTTTTGAGTAATGTAATAATTTATTATTATTAATTATTTCTGAAATTGTGATTTATTACACTGGACACAAGACTTACTGTAATACTAATTACTGGAATAAGCTTATTTCCCAAAATGTTCAATTATTAAGGAACTAGTGGTCCATCAGCAGAACAGAAATTACATATATATATATATATATATATATATATATATATATATATATATATATATATATATATATATACATTTATATAGCACAGGGACAAGCGACACACACACACACACACACACACACACACACACACACACACACACATACATACATACACAATATTGCTGCTTATGCAACTTATGCAAAAGAAATGGCTATAAAAGAGATTTTACTGTAGTCTCCCTGGCTCTGGCCAACTTTTCCATTTTTCTATTATTCTGAAGAGATGACAGGCTAAATGAGTTGTAATTGGATAAATGGTCAGTCTGTGTGTGTAGTTCTTCTGGACTGGCTTTATATGGGAGGCAGGCTAACCTGCTGCCCCTCGGTACCCCGCCTCACTCTGCAGCCCGTACTGTGAAGGCATGATGGGAGCAGATGGAGGTGGGAGGCTATGAGGTAGTGGTAGCTCTAGCTAATTATTAAAATGACTGCTATTATGGGATTATATTTGTCCTTGAGTGGATATGGGGGTAGACAGAGGAGAGGCAAGCAGGCAGACATCCAAACAATGAAGCAGGCAGACCCCCTGACCAAGGCATACTTTGTTTTGTTTTTTCTGTTATCAACATTTTGGGAAACACACACATTTGCATTCTTGCCAAGAACCAGATGAGAAAACTGATAGAACTGTCATGTCTGTAAGGTAAATATGTCAATGTGCCAAATGTTGGTTACCTAGCCTTGCAAAAGACTGGAAGCAGAGGGAAACTGCTAGCCTGACTCTATCCAAAGGTAACAAATATTATAAAAATGATTTGGTATTTGTTTAATCTGTACAAAAAGTGTAAAAATGGCACGTTGTGCATTTCTCCCTGTTTGCAGTAAGCTAACCAGCTACCGGCTATACTGTAGCTTCATTTTTAGCATACAGATATGATAGTGGTATCAATCTCATCTAATTTTAATCAAGAAGGTGAATTAGCATATTTTCCAAAATGAACTATTCCTTTAATCTTTTATCAGATCATGAGAAGGTTAGGGGCGTCAGTAAAATGTCTGTTATTTTTTCAGTACAGGAATGTGGTAGCTGTGTAATCTCGTGTGAGACCCAGCATTAAACTCTCACTACCTGGACAGCTCTTATCTTTTGCTCACATACAGTGCACACATGCAGACATCTGCAGGGAGAGAGGCACACACACACACACACACACACACACACACACACACACACACACACATAGAGAGAGCTTGAAGAAAAACAACCAGTTTTTTTCTGCATCGTCCTGTCATCTCCTTGGACAGTATCTGTGTGTGTATTCCTGGGCCTGATGTCACCTGGAATAACCTCAACACACACACCGAAATGAGAGTCGGTGATGTCATCCTGGACAATATGCTGTTTGTGCGTTTGTACTGGGTGGGCTTTCACACGTCCAATGCCGGGTGTCCTTTACCTCACACTGGTCCTGGCTTTTCGAAATCTCTGCCCTTGTTCCACATCTTTGGCAAAATTCATTGTTCATAGATGCTGCAGTCACACCTTTAACACTGAAAGTCCCAAAAGTCCAGCACAACACAGTCAAATACAACTTCACTATTAGTCCAGCAGTCATCAGCTTGGAAACTGTTGCAACAGTGAAAATGGAGCTTCTGTGTCTCTAGCAATCATGAACTGTAAAGCCATACACAGGGACTAATCCCTTCTGAGAGAAAAGGGTCTGTACAACACAAAGGACAGCTTAGCCAATCAACAGTGGATAATCTGGGACAGAAAGACGACTCATGTCAACAGTTCAGCACAGTGTCAACGAGGTCAGCCCAAGTGAAACTCACTCAGGACTATCACTTATAATACAGCTCACATTATCACTCAACAGAAGGCCCATTTGCTGTAAGTGAAACTCCACTGCAGAGGTGAACAACTCTTAAAGCTATTTTTATCTTTCTCCTTGCATGCTCTTGCATCATCTTGTGAAATTACCACCAAAAGCTCCCTCTGATATCAACCCACTTCTCCGTGGGATCACATGAAAATGTTTTGCTTGTTTTGGTTACAGTCAAACTTGGCCACCTCTAGCATAATACTGCCCATTAAAAGCTTGCCAGGAAATGAGTTGTCAACTTCAAATAAATATTGCCTCAAATAAACCTCTTTAGCTGTTCTTGGACATCGCAACCCTTGACCCTGCCATGGAAAGGTGGCCGCTGCCATCTCCAAGCCGCGCTCATCTTAGTGGCACCCTCTAATTATCCCTCTCCAGAAAGGTCGCCTGTCCCAATGAGGCATGACAACGCTCCAGCTCAGTACCTCACCCTTTGGGATCAAAATTCCCTGGTAGTCAAAGTTTACAGAGTGTAGAACATTTAGATTATGAGTATAACTTCCAAAATCTGTCTAGGTGGCGATCTACAGCTCTTTGTGTGTTGAAACCCGGCCATGTTATGTCAGACAGGTGCAGCATGTCAAAGATTAGATGAAATATGTACCAATAGCAAAGTCTGTTACCAATCTATCACTGCTAGGTAGCGTTTACTTCCATCTAATTCATCTCAGTCTCACTCTCTTTCATTCTCTGTGTCTGTCTCTCTGTCTTACACACACATGGCTTCCCATCAACCTCTGCTCTTAATTTCCTCACCTCCCTGCTGTATCCCTCTCATTCTTCAAAATGCTAAGGTGCAAAGGTTCACTGCTGCTGCTGCTGCTCTTTCATCTCTGTCACACTGTTAGTTTGCCTTTGAAGGACTGTTTAGTTGATGTGAACAATGCCCCAGCCTTGTGTCCTATGGCCCCTCTAGTCACATACATGCATCATTCCAATTGATCCACCTCGAGGACTTTATTGAATTTCCATCTGTTCTTCCTTCTATTCTCACTTGGAGATGGTAGTGTTGGTCTGTTTGTCTGTTGGTCCACCACTTTGGTCCAGACAGAAATATCTCAACACTTGGATGGATTGCCGTGAAATTTTATACAGACATTCATGGTCCCAAGACGATGAATCCAATTTACTCTGACTTATCCTCCAGCTAAACTACAAGGCTGACATTGTTCTGGCATCTCTCAACAACTATTTGATAGATTACCATGAAATTTAGTATAGACATTCATGTCCTCCTCAAGGTGGAGAGCAATAACTTTAAATTTTGTCCAATACTTTATTTAAGTTTATTTAATACCTGCAAAATGAATGATATTCCTATCAGCTTGTACTTTGTGTTTAGTGGTAAAAAAAATGGTGAAGATGGTTAAGTTTTTGCTGCTTAACATCAACATGTTAGTGTCATTGTGAGCATGTTAGCATGCTGACAAAGCACTACCTGAGTAAGGCCCCACAGAGATGCTAGTGTGGCTGAAGACTCTTGTGGCTTCAATTCTCACTTGCTTATGTAGTTACTCTCTAGACTCAACAACGTCCCTAGAATGCTGGCCATGATACAACCAGATGCTAACCACTCCAAAAATCTGAAGCTCATGATGGCGGAAAAACTGGAACAAATGTGCACAGAAAGATGTAACATTATATTCTTATGATATACAGGAGACACAATAATTCATTCGTCCAATGTAAAAATTATGTCTCGCCTAAAATCACCGTGTGTAAAGTGAGTCACACACACGGTTCACATTATAGCAGAGGTCTAGGTCTATAGAAACACAGGTGTGTGTTAGTGTTCACATACTGTATATATCTCTCCTCTCTCTTTAATTTTCATAGCTAGCAAATGTCAAGACTGCACAGAAATCGCACATACAAACTCTTCAGTCTCATACATTCACCAAGTTTCTCCGTTGCTCCTGGTACAGACAGGTTTATACTTGTACATACACACACATACACCCATGGATCATTTTATTTTAATTTAGTCATTGAAATCTGATGATGTTGAAATACCCCTGATTATGTCATTGGGGGCATTTGGGCTTAGAGAGTGAACACTGTTAACACAAAGCCTGTGTGAGTTTGAAAGACAGGCAGGCATTTACTAGGCTTAGATTGTTTATGAAAAGACACCTGGAAAGGAATGTGCCATTTCGTTCTAACTATAGGAAAATAGTCTTTGAATAGAACCATTCCAATGCATCTTTAGTAATTATTAATTCATTATTGATTTATAATTATTCCTATGTTGAGTTGTATTCCTGACTGTAAACAAATTTCACATGTTCAGCTGACCTGCAGTGCACTGACTAAAGACTGACGAGGTTATGCTAACCAGTTTTAGCATTTTTATTATTATTATTATTTTAAATGATTTGGGGGAATACTGCTGCATATGTAAAAAAGGAAAAAAAAGTTGTATAAACTCTTTTGTGGATTCAGAAGGAGCTGTCCTAAATGTGACACATTTCCTCAAGTGATGTCACTTGAGTCAGCATTAGTTAGGGCTGAAGTTTAAAAATGAAAGAAATCTGGTGATGGGGAGTGCTTACCAGACATCTGTAGTCCATTTCTAATCTCTGCTGGATGGCGCTACTAGGGGCTATAACAAAGCTGAATCAATGACCAAAATGTTAACAGCCACAATGCATTTTGGGTAATCAAGGCATCATTTTTTTAAAAAGGAACAACAATCTGTTAAATAAAACAAAACACATCTCTTATTTGTGCGGCATTAATTTATGTTTAATTGAAATTGTGCACAATGAGTCAACAATAACTGACTGTTAAACAATTGTCTTGTAGATACGTGGAGTAACTAACTGGCACAGTTGCCCATCGCTGCTTTAAACACAATATTAAGTTGAGATGGAACATTAAAAGCAAAGTTTCTCTGCTTCTCCTTCATATCCTGTCCTTTACCTCCATGTGTTTTTGCAGGAGCTGCTGAAGGATCCTCTTTACATTGGGCTGAGACATAAAAGAGTCCGAGGCCAGGCCTATAATGACCTGCTGGATGAATTCATGAAGGCTGTGTCGGACAGGTATGATCATATTGGCCTTCAATTCATCACATGCCCACTCCCTTTATGCTGTCTGCTATTGTCATTCAAATACAGACAACATATGGTGCTGTTAAAAGAAATATGTTAAGCAGTTTAACATAGTCAGTGCATGCGGTGTGATGTTGCCAAATCTTGTGGGATTCAAGGGTCTGGAACTTCAGTCATCGATGATTTGGTTTTACCTTCTTTGAAGTACGTTTTGGTTGCCAAGCAATGTCAATCAAAACTCTGCTTCCTGGCTGAATGGCATTATGCGCTTATTGAAAAGTGATCAGAGAGCCTCGGTAACCATCAGTGCTATTGATTTCAGTGGCATGATTCTCTCCAGGCAGGCGGCGGAAAGCACAGCTAACTAGCTATTCAGAAAATGGTTGAACTGTCAGCAGCTGTACTGGACACTTATATAAATATGATCTATTTAAAAACTGTCCACGAGGATCTGACTTGCTTATTAGTCCATAGAAACTCAGCTAATTGAATCAGGGATGATAGGAGAGCTTCTTTGTTTGTTGTAAACAGGATATGTGGAAATGCAGTACTTTTTTACAGTACAGGATAGAGACTGTAAACAGAGATACTTACAGGAATAGTGGGAGACCTCTTTGAGGAAGAATTTGTGTTTTTTCTCAGTATTGACTCCTGTGGTCTTGGTCCAGGGAAAATATCTAGCCATAGCACAGAGAAAGCATCATTCAGACTTGTTGACATGCAAAACCCTTTTTTATTCAGCAGTGGATCACAGTGGGTGGGGGGGTTAACTTTGGCTTGTTTGTGCAAGGCATTAAAGTGTTTAGCATTCCCTAATGTTGCTCAGTTGGTTTTCATACACTGATCTTATCTTTTCCCTCCTCCCTGAGCTGAAATGAGGTGAGTCAAACAGCTGTCCTTTGGGGCTTGTACCTTTATGTTGTTTATTGCAGTCCTGTCCTTAATGGGACTTTTGTATATACCTTTGACTTTCGTGCACACCAACACGTCTGTATATCTGTGTCCCTGTGTGCCATGGAGCCATCATAGCCACACACACACACAGGCCTGGTTAAAACTTGTCCTAACCCAGAGAGACCAGAGTCCAGAGGGAGAGTCCTGGGTCTGGGCCCCCTCCAGCTGGCAACAGGAAGCCATGACACTAATAACCGGGTGGCTTCTCAACTACAGGGAACAGCGAAGCTTTTTCCCCAAAGGAGCCAGATTGGCGGAAAATGAGTAATTATGGGCTCAGAGAGATTGAATGAATGATTACAGCTCTGCAGTCTTTCAAGTAATATTCATGTTTAGTTTTCTAAGAAACTGAAATACTTCAGATTGACTCATCATCAATAAGCAGCAGAAGTCTGGGGGATTTTTTAATCCACTATTTAGAAATACTTCTTATTTGAAGAAGCGTGGTTAGTGATGTAACAGAGTGTTTGATTTCAGGCCAGCCTCCCATTCTCCAGCTCCACTGCGCCTGTTGAATAATCAGCAGGTGCTGTCTGCTGCTTTTGTCTTCAGACAGAAATGAATTATCCCTTGATCTCACTGCTCCTGCACCACGCCCACAAAACTTTAAAAAGGATGAATTAAGGCTCAGCAAAGGTTTTAAAACTTTGAGCCCTATATTTTCTGTCAGGGAAACAGTCACCTTTTTTGTCACATTTCATCACACTTCATCCCCCAAATAATGTATTTTTGTTGGTGTGTGCAGATTTCTCTGTGAGTCCTACTACATAAATGTAGTGAGATTGAACTGGAGGGATGTGCTGGAACTGAAAACGCCATACAAGTAGTAATTGACAGTAAAAAACAGGCCCGATCTAGAGCAAGCACTGGCTGGTTTGTCTGTTCTGAGCTACTGTAGAAACATGGTGGTTCAACATGTTGAACACAAGGAGGAGCCGCTCCCTCTGTAGATAAAAACGTCTCATTCTAAGGTAATGACAACACAATGCTGCTTATATTCAGGTGATTGAACACTAATGAAAATCCACCTATGGATATTCTATACAATGTCTGAAAATAGATCCTCCTTAATGTTGCACACTGGACCTTTAACAAAAGCACTTGTAGACCATAGGTTGATATTGTTAAAAGTATATTTTGGGTAGCCAAAATATATGATTCACTCAGATCGTGGGTCATGATGTCAAACATGAGTATTTGACAGAGCAGGCTCTAGGAAGTTCTCCATACAACTCTGAGTTGCATTCAAAGTCTCCAGGAATGCCATCAACTATTTTAAACTCTTGGCACTGAGAGGATAAGGAACAGAGAAACAGACCGATGGATGGATGGATGGATGGATGAAAGCAGCAACAGAGGAGAAAGAATGCAGAATGCATCTTTGTCTTTAATGACGGCTCAGGGATTTGAGAAATAATGTGTGCTGAGAGATGCTGGCTCTCTGGAGAGTGAGAGGGGGCTGGGGATTTATTAAGGCTTCAGCCACGAAGCCCTGAAGCCCCGTAGGGATGGCGCTAACAGACAGCCTGTGTGTGTACACAAACACACATATATGCACGCAGGTTCGACAGCTGTGTTTAGACAGAGCACCCTTGTCTGTGGCCTCCTTTGCAGAGGTCCTCTCTGTTGCACTAAAAGAATCACTTCATGCTTTCTCCTCTGCTTCCTCGGTGTTGGAAGTTTATATGACATCCACCTATTTCCTGTTAGGTGGAGATTCAGATTTCATCAAGTCTCAGATGAAGCCAGATTGTGTTTCCTGAAGGAGCTGGGTCACTCGTTAACTCTCTCATCCTACAGACATAAACACCAAACGTCTGAGTGATTCGCCACATGGGAAAGCGTCTGTCGTCTCATATCTCACGCCTTTTTTCATAATATCAAACATTAATAACAATGTCACAAGCATTTATTCTCAATATATTGGACTGGTTTGGCAGTATGCACCAAGAAACTTGAATTCCTGAATCAGAAAACAATAACTCTAGGTATTTTCCTTTCATTCTACTACTGGTATCATTGTGGAAAGTCATAAAGCACAGCAAAATAAAAGCTTTAAGGACAAAGGAGCTCTGTGTTGTTCTGGTAGCATTTTCCAGAAACCTGGAACAGCGCCATGGCAGGAAAGGTTAGTGTGCAGGTGTCTCGTCTGCCAGTCTGGTCGTTGTCTGTTTCCAGAAGTCTCCAACATGAAAATCAATGAAAATCAAAACACCTGTCTTCCTGTGATAATTTATATTGATTAATTATTCATTAATGACGGGAGATGGGCTGACAGACAAAGTGTTCACTGTTATGAAGCCAGTAAAGGCCCCTAATTGTCTTGTTACAATAGGTGATGTTTTTCATTTAAAGTTTTCATTATTTCACACCTCACTGGTTTAAAGTGGTGAGCTGGGCTCAGAAAAAGGTAATGACACTTACTTTCAAGGGTTCTGCAATACTTAAATCAAAATGGGCTGACAGTTGTGGGGTTGTTTACTTACGTTGCCAGGCAACTGTCAGCCACATCTGGTCAGACCACACCCACCAAGTCTTGATGAAGCAGATAGGCTATTTGATTGTTTAGTCATGAAAACTAACTACTTTTAAGTCTTCCCAGGCTTAAACCTGCAATATTTGATTCAATTGAGCAATATTTTTTGTCTGCCAGATGAATGCCCAAAGTCCAATATTTACACGATCAAGACTGCCAGTTCTTGCCGCAGAAAAACAGCCCCACATCATCAATGACTCACCTCCATGCTTAACCGTGGGGATGGTATTCTTCTGGTCATAAGCCTGGCCTTTCGCACGCCAGACATACCGCTGGTCCAAATGTCCAAACAGTTCCAGTTTGGTTTCATCAGTCCATAGAACTGTCTCCCGAAACTCTGTAGTTTTATCCAAATTCCTCCTGGCATATTCTAGTCGACTTTTGATGTTCCTTGTGGTCAAGAGTGGAGTCTGGCCATGAAGTCCTTGTTTATTCAGTGCACGTCTTATAGTTGCCACAGAAGCACTTGTACCAGCCTTCATCAAGTCATCCTGTAAGTGCCTTGCAGTCACACAGGGGTTTCTCTTAGTCAAGTCCCTCAACTCATAAAGAAGTCATCCGAAGCAGAATCTTGCTCTTTGAAAAAACTTGAATCGATAAATCCTTAAAATCTTTCAGGGGGTTGAATATTTCTGATTGCAACTGTATCTCTATCTATCACATACGAGTACTATACTTTAGATACCACTCTAGCATGATTTTTGGACACCCCTGTCTAGGGCCACAGACTGATGAGTTGGGAGTGAAAACGTTGGATCTATTGTTAGACACACAGATACTATAGCTACAACGTTTATACCATTTTGTTCCCTTTCGCATGAAATGGTAGCTGCATTAGGTAGCTTTTCATTAGATTTGCTGTTAAGAGAACATTACAAGACATTGTAATATACATACATTACAACATTGAGCCAGAGCAGCCAAATCAGAATCAAGAGTTGTCACTGTCACTGTTTTACATTATTAAGCAGTTGCAGGCAGGACTGTTCTTACATTGCAGTGACAGGTTTGAGTGCTTTCCCATCAGGCCCTTTTTGGTCTCACAACTCACCGAACAGACACTGCTGTTGACAAAGCAATGGACAAAGAGACGGAAAGCGATCTCACTGCCAAATCTCAACAGCAGGGATACTGTCTCTTTCTTTTTTCATAACAGTCATGGGAGGTGGAACAAAGTCACTGTTTTGGCTGTGGAGTCCGCAACAAGTCCTGAACTTTTGAGTTCAAAATCACTGTGCCGTCATCACCAAATATAATGACATTTTAAACTTTCAACAACCAATGACAAATAAGTGGATAATAAAAAGTATAGCCTTAGATTAAAGCCTGACAGGGGGTAACAAGAAATAGATACATTTCTGAGTGATGAATATGGCTTTATACTGTGATAAAGTCTGTTTTTAAGTAAAAGTATGTCTAAAGCTCATTCATTATTTATGAACAGGACATAAAAGGTTCTGTTCTAATAGTTTTGAACAATGGATGGCTCTATTAAACACAGTTACTGTTCCCTTATATTTTAACATCACTTAAAAAATACACATATTTATTTATTTTATAGCTATGAAGGTTCAGCCTTCTTCCTAGGGGCCCGATGTTTTGTTCCCTAGCAGACATTATCATCTACATCATAATGAGTAATCTAGATTTTAACAATGTTCTTTTTTTGCAAGATATTATAATTTTACAGTATACTTAATGATAACTTTCAGTGCATTATTGGCACCATCCCATGTTTCCACTTGTCTGTGCTGTTATGAGTAACAGTAATACCATACCCTTTAATTATTCAATTTAAGTACTCAATGAAAAATAAAAATAGTAGTAGTCTCTCGTAATAGTCCTCTAATCTATAGTCTTCCATCCAGTCCAGTTCCAGAATATGTACCCAGCGAGTGTTTTATTGAGACTAAATAATGACACTGTAACTTGTAGGCTGTAATTTAACAGTGTAACCTAATAAACTTGGATGAATAATTTTATTTACCCTCTGCCAATCCAAAACAACCTAAGGCACCAGATCCATTGAGGAACATCTGTTTATAGCAATTATGGTACTTTTTGTGCGAGAACAATCTTTTTCCTAATCAGTCTTTCTTTCTCCCCTACCTCTTGCAGACGAGTGGATTTCTCTCAGCACAGTCAGGGATATGGTCTGTGTGTTTTTCATCTTTTGGGTGTGCCTTGTCTTGCTTAGGTTACTGCCCTTGATACTTCAGCGTAAATACAAAAGCAAATCCCGCTGTCTTTGTCCAGGGTATTTTTTTTATCCAGCTGGCAAAGAGGCTCATTGTCAGATTTTGGCGTTCCATTCAGATGGTCGTCAAGGAAAGACAACAGACTTTCAGGCAGAATAGGGACGACCAACACAAATGGCCTCCTAGAGGAGCTTTGTTCTAGGCACACACACACACACACACACACACACACACACACACACACACACACACACACTGTCAAAAACACTCCCCCTATCTTTATTGGCTCAGGCCAAGGACCAAAGAGCTTTCTACAGTGGGAAGATGTTCCTTTCTTTCTGCAATCCCACAACCACAGATAGTCACTCTGTAGTTTATGGTCAGTGGATGCCCATAAATACGCATGTGTTCACAGCTCAGTCATCCTCAGATCTGTGTCAGGAGTTTTTGATCTTTCTGGGCTGTCATTTTAAAATCTAAAACGATGAATTCAATATCTGGCATTGTTTCTCACCCTCATTTAAAGCCTTAAAACCTAATCCTCTGCCTTTACTGAGAATACATGCAGGATGTGAGTCTCAACTCCCACAGAGGACTACACTCCGAAATCCACCTCGTTGGACTCTATGCATGAGCAGCTTGGTTCTGTGTGAACTGGTGTGACCTCTCCAGTAGCGAGCTGCACCAAACCAAACCAGAGGGCGCTGCACTGGCATTGGGGCAAGGCCACATCTATCCTCGCCTGTCGCCTGTCTCCGTCTCTGAAAGCCCCAACACAATGAAAAGTTTATAGCTCCCTTCTTGGCCTCATTATTCATCCTCTTCGCACAGGCTCTCAGTGCTTTAGTACTGCGCTCTGCTTGATAGAAAACACATTTCTCTCCTCAGCGCTACTGCCGTGTTGGCAGTAAGTCAGCGGGGCTGTCAGTCTCTGTATTAGGAATCTGTGTCTTGCAGTGTGGCAGAGAGAAGGATAAACAGTGACCCAGCGATGGCACTCTCTCATCAGGGCATTAAATTTTATTGCAGTTGAACTCAGGTCGCTTCTCTTCCTGCATTTATTTCTTTTGCTCCGCTTCCGCTCAGCTTCAACCTCCTGCTGAAAGTTTAAGCAATTTAGCAGCCACTGTAACAAGTGGGAAACGGCTTTAGTGAATCATACAATAACAGTGCAAACGAGGTATGAGGTGGGGTTTTATGAAAAGCCTGAAAAAGTAACAGAGAAGAGAAGAGAAAGTCAAAAGACAGTATCAGAAAGGAGGAAAAAGAGCAAACCGTGTCTTAACTGTGAAAAACAAATGTGACAAGGGAGGACTTCACCATCCCCTGTTGTTTAGTTAACTAACAGGGCTGCAGGTGCTGGGGAGGGGGGTTTCGGGGCTACTCAGCCTGTTTGCTTGGCCTGTCCCCAATTTCCTCCGTCACTCACTCACTGGAACATGATCCAAGGTTTTAATACAGGTTTCAGACAACCTCGCCCTTTCCTCCCATTGTTTTTAGCTGAGAAATAGACTTAATAAAAGTTATACTGCTAATCTATACTTTCAGACAGTCACATCATTCAAAGGGTATTAGTGTAGTTATCCCAAATATCTGCTTTTGTCATTTGTATTGCAAAAAGATTATTCTCAGTTGTTTGGCCTGTTGGGGAGTCTTAAAGTCCTCTCTTTTACTTTTAATGGAATTCCACCTCATGCGAGAATTTTCCTTGAACAGAATATCTTGAAGCTGTTTGATACCTTCAACTGAACATTTGTGAATGGAGTTAGGAATCTGGAATACTTCACTCAAAAAGCATAATTAGGTAGTTGTCTCACCGGTCTGTGGGCCTATATTTATTGCAAAATCTGCATCTTTTCTGTGGCTAATGTTAATTTCATAACGATCATTACTCCCTGAAGTCAAGCAGCAATAATTGTGATGTGCAAGAACAGAACATTTGACAGGTATAGCAACAAAAGGGGTGCGAAGCTATTAGCAAACAGTCAATTATTCTAAGGAAAGCCATAAAACTTTTATATTATATTATATTATTTTATTCAGCATCTATCTGACTTTAGCTTTTCAGACATGATGTTATCCCGCACACAGCTGAACCTGGCTATCATCTTGGAGATAGAGCAGCAGCCGTCACTCTGCAAACATCCAGTAAATTCCTGAACCAAAGTTCCATCTGTTGAAAGGCATGGGAACTTGGGATTCCTCTTTGTCGCTGCTAAATCTAATATGCAGACTCACAACGCTGGGCTTATGGTTTATTATTGTTGTATGCTGTTTTTGCAGGAGCTTATTGGCACAGGCTGCTGTGCCGCTGTATTGACTACATGTAAACGGTGGTCTGAACAGCATCTTGTAAAATTGAACGCTGCTGGTTTACTGGGAGACTGGGTGGGCTCTTTTCCTTCAAATTTGGTGTTTTTGTGATTCTACTCTTTTGTGAAGGTTTGACCTCCCTCACTGATACTCATTGTGATGTGCTGTTGTAAAGTTGGGCAAAACAGGTGCCAGCTTGTCAAATATCTGTTAAAAAAAAAAAAAAAAAAACGTTCTGTGGCTTTGATTTAGACATGACTTCTCACAGCGTATATAGCATTTAACATATTCAGACAACTGAATTCAACATTGTTATAGCTTTGTGCACCAAGAAGCCAGCATCACGTCTCTTTATTTCTCACCCTGTTGTGTGTAGTGCAGCAGGGGAGCGCCCCCATCAGGACTGAAATAAAGTCTTGAAAACAGGGGCTGCTCTCTGTTTGTGTTGATGTGTGTAAAAGTCTGTTATCTACGATAACAATTAGCTTTGTCATCTCTTCATTTCTCTTTTTCTGCCTGTTTAAGTTGATTCAGTCAGATTAAATGCACCCTTTCTGTTTACAGGTATGGAATGGACTGTCTGATTCAGTTTGAGGACTTTGCAAATGTTAATGCTTTCCGTCTGCTGAGCAAGTACCGCAACAAGTACTGTACATTCAACGATGACATCCAAGGTAACTCAATGACACACACACCCAAATGGACATCCTCTTACTCATTTATTCCTCTTTCATAAAACCCCACGAATGTAAAATATGATTTGTTGAAGGAATGGTCTAAGGTGGTGTGTTATTGAATATCACCCCAACTCTTCACCTTCTATTGAAACATAGGAGATGAGGGAGTTGGGCTGACACATTAGATATTATCTAGTGTGCCTCCATGGCTGGAGGCTGCACTGTGGACATCACCAGACCAACCCCCAATCTCCACACCCCACAAAAAATAGAGCAACGAAGTTTAGAAGTAGTTTATTATAATAAATCAGTGTATTCAGAGAGAGAAAGCTCCGCAATAGATCCCTATATTAAAAGCACAGTGGAATGTATCACACGATGTATGCAGAATTGGGTCTGTTCTTTCTCAACATTGCAATTTAGAAAATGTTTTTGTGTTAAAATGTAATATTCAGTAATGCTATTGGTCATTATTAATTAAACACATGTGGAGAAAATGCCAGAATTATCTAGTGGTTTCAGTGCTTGTTTGTATAGGGATTTGATTGGTTTCAGAATACTATGGTTGGCCTGTGACCAGCTTGTTAAACGGTAGTTCAGATGGTGTAGACATGTCTTGGCAGTCTCTGTAGACATGTGATTTCTGATGAATCGGACATTTTACAGGTTTTTTTAACATGTGGCTGAAAGGAGAGGTTAGAGTCAATGAACACCCAAAGATATTTGAATTCACTTACAACTTGTAATTTTTCACTTGCTTCAAGTATGTGAGTCACTAGTAGGTCTATTGGTTCTGCAGAAGAGCATGCTGACTGTTTTAGACAGATTTAGTTGGAGGCAGCACAGCCATTCAGTCATGATGTGATGGCAGCTGTGGCTCAGACGTAGAGCGGGTCCTCTGCTCCTCTCGCCTCATGTCAAAGTGTCCATTCACCATTTATCTGAATTGGTGAGATTAGCCGCAACATCATCATCAACTTCAAACAGATGGAAGGTCATTGATGTATAGACTGGACTGAGAATAGGTCTTTGCGAGACACCAGAAAGGTGCAGAACTGTTATCGAGATGGAAAATGATCTGCTCAGCAACAGTTGTGATACTTTTGGCAGAATTCTGATAAAATGACATATGGAAAGTAGGTCACCAGTTTTGAAGATTGGACTCGAATAACAGAATTCCAGGTTTATGATAGAAGTAATTAGTGCTGATCAAGGTATTTGAACTCCACCCCAAACACTTCTTTTCCTCATGAAGGTTTGGAAGACCTGATTATTTTCATGACTTCTGACTCTGTGATGGCATGTTCTACTATAGCCTACTGGGTACACTCCTTGATAACTGAGAAACCCTGCACAATATCAGCCACAGAGTTAACAAAGTAGTGATTGACGGCCTCTGCTATTTCCTTAACCCTAACCCTGCAAGGGATAATGTATAGCATAGGGTTCATTATTGTGAAATAAACCCAGACAAGGTGATGCAGGACTCATGCTAACGTGAGCTTACAGCAGTGTACTTTATGAGCAGCAGTGACTGTATTGTGGACCTGGGTTTCACATCTCAGGCTCATGTGCGCATTTTTGTGCACATGCAAAAAGGGGACCCACTGGTAAAAGCAGGAGGAGAGTTTAGGAGATTATCTGTTGTGATAATTAATGATACAGCAATTTACAGAGGATCTTTAATTCTTTATTTAAATAGAAGAAGTACTTTTCACATAGATGTATTATAAACCTGAAGTGTTGATGTTTCTCTATAATACTGTTTAGGTACTGCTGCTGTGGCAGTAGCTGGACTCCTGGCAGCCCTCCGCATCACTAAGAGCAAAATGTGCGACCACACCATTGTGTTCCAAGGTGCAGGGGAGGTATGTGCAGCACACTTGTGGTACTGACTATGTATGTGTGGCGGAACAGCAGCCAGAGTGGCCACAAGAGAATGCCAAAGTGAATCTTTTCTTAATATCCCAGTTTTTCAATTTAGTGCTATATGCTGGTTCAGACTACACGATATCTGCCCGATTATGGCCCGACCTGATTGATTAGTTACACGACAAATGGTTTATCCCGTGTAATGTTGCAACTGGGACTCCTCGCGACGGTCTGTCATGTCTCTCGGTCAAATCACGGTTAGAATTTATGACTCTATAATCGCCTAATCTGACACAGTGACCGTTCTAACTGTCAAAAATATTGAGTGGTCTGGGTGCCCGGTTAGCTCAGTCGGTAGAGCTGGCAACCCCTATACGGAGTTGCTGCAGCGGCCGGGGTTCAAATCCAACCTGCGGCCCTTTGCTCCCCTCTCTCGACCCACCTTTCCTGTCAATCTACAGCTGTCACTATCCAATAAAGTCAATAAAAGGCCCCAAAAAATAACTTAAAAAAATAAAACAAAATATTGAGTCGTCTGAACTTGCCATTAAAGACACTTCCTGGTGGTATAGGGTCATACCAGACCACGGCTGAGCAGAAAAACTTATTGAGTTGAGCAAGGGTATATTTTATTGCCTATGAGGTCATTGTTTTATGTTTTTTTGTCTTTTAAAAGTTATATGGTCTCACTTTAAACAAGAAACCATTAATGCCAATGGAACATACCGATTGCTGTTTTAACAAGAGAACATTTTGGCTGTTTGATTTGTGTGCAGAGGAAAGATTTCAATTTACAATCCCATTACTTTTAACATCACTACTCAGGCCTTGCCTCTTCACCACAATCAGTGAGATGTGTTGATTTTCAAATGGAAAGAAACTGCTGTGATTTCAGATCAGACATTCTTCTGACGACATTGATCCCTTCCCTTTTTTTCCCCCCCAGGCAGCAATGGGGATTGCTGAGCTGATCACAATGGCCATGGAGAAGGAGGGACTCGCTAAGGAAGAGAGTTTGAAAAAGATCTGGATGGTTGATTCTAAGGGTCTCATTGTCAAGGTCCAATAAAATACTGCAAACACCCACATGTACACATGCAGGCATAAAGATGGAATCTTCAAAAACAAATGTCAGGAAGTAGAGAAGAAAAAAAAATGCTGAAATGGACAAAACATCACAGGTTGATGTTATTACGGGTTAAGAATCTCAAAGGGTGGATTTTCCTAAACTGTTTGACATCAGAGTTACCTCCACAATCAAGAAAAAAACATTTCACATGGTTCATTAATTCATATGACAGAGGTCTGTCCTTGGAGTCACTGCAAAAGACTCTCCAGGAGATCAACATTAACATCTGTTACACATCTGTTTTGTCCACAATATCCATGTTATTTATCCCTCATTCCTCCTCCTCCTCCTCTTCACTGTCTTCAACTTCCTAGCTTTCTCACTGCTTCTTCCACTCCATCAGCAATGTTCTCTCTTCCATCCCACCTCTCTTCTTCATATTCATCTCTTCACCTCTTTTGTTTCCAAACTGGTGATCCTCCAGTCCAGAGATACATTTACAAGAAATCCTTCATTCCTTTCAGCTATAAAACAGAGAGCAATAACAATGAATCCAAGCATCAAACCGTTTTTTTTAGTGTCTGGTGTCAGATGGTGTCATGTCTTTAATGTCCTCCTCCTCATCCCACCTCTCCATCCTTAGGGTCGAGACCACCTGACTCATGAGAAGGAGAGGTTTGCTCATGAGCACCTACAGATGAAGAAACTGGAGGATGTGGTTCGGGAACTGAAACCCACAGCTATCATTGGTAACACAACAAGCATTTGATGTTTTCATCAGATATCCAGTTTGTCATTTTGTCAGACTGCGTGGTAGAGTTGATGCAAGGGATTGTTGAAAAAAAGTACTGAGTACATTTGCAGACTTTAAGACTACAAAATTTAAGGTCAGTTGAGCCACGACATTTTGTCTTCAATGTTGAACTAGGAAGAAAATATTGGTAAAGCTCTTTCAAAAAGAGTTTGAAATGAAATATATTGCACATTGATGGCTTTCTGTCACAGGTGTGGCTGCTGTTGCTGGAGCATTTTCCGAGCAGATCATCAGGGACATGGCTTCCTTCAATGAGCGACCAATCATCTTTGCCCTCAGCAACCCAACCAGCAAAGCCGAATGCACTGCTGAGCAGTGTTACACTCTTACTGAGGCACTCACTGTTGATCTCAATTATATTCCCATATCTGGCTATGAATGATTTCATTGCTCGTCTCTGCTGAGCAATGGGCGAGTTGTACTGTTGTATATTAATATACCACATTTTCCTGCAGGGGCGGGGCATCTTTGCCAGTGGCAGCCCATTTGATCCCGTCACCCTGCCTGATGGGAAGACGTTCTACCCTGGTCAGGGTAACAATGCCTACATCTTCCCCGGTGTGGGCCTGGGTGTCACCGCCTGTGCCGTCCGACACATTACTGAGGAAATCTTCCTCACTGCAGCAGAGGTAACACACTGACATACACTGTACATACACACCCTCTTCAAATCTTTATATTATTATTAAATGAATGCATGAATTTGTACCACTGATTGTTGAGGGTGTGTTGCAGTATAAATATGTATAAAATCAAAAAAACACCCAATATTCAGCATATGAAAGCATCTGTTACATTAGTTAGAATGTCTAAATGACCAAGAGTTTAATCTTTACTAAATTCACTGCCACTACATGTCACACTAGAGCGACTGCATCTCACACCTAAACAAAAGTATGCTATAGCCCACCAGACTACATTGACAAAACAAGTGTTTTTATCTGCAGATAATCGTAAAACACACCTCACACAGTTCCAAATAAACCCTTTATTCTCAGAGTTAGATGTGAAAATATTCACAAAAAGGGCTGTAATGGTGACAATGTAAGCTAATCCTTGGGGATAAATTCATCTGTCAAAGTACGTCCATTAAAAGTGCTTGTTTCTTCCACTGACTGGCTCAGATTGTTATCCTAAGTGTCTGACAACATTATGGAGAGGATCCCTACAGAGATAGAGCTTTTTGTTAAAGAGTAATCCTTTTTGATGGAATGATAAAAACAGCTGTTTCAGTTGCTCTCCTTAGTTGCACACGGAGAGGCTGGGATAGAAACACAGGTAGACAGAGTGGAGTGTTATTCTCTGCTGTATTCATATTTTAAATCTCGCATATATAACCTTTAAGACTATGTGGAGGAAAATGTAAAATGATAAAAAAAAAAAGACAAAATAAATACAAAATACTTCCTGTGTAATTGAGGTATTGGGTTTGTGAAGGACACAGACGCTGAAGAATGTAAGCACATGTAGACATGTTATTTAATTTCCTTCTCGACTGTAACATGAGCTGTGTGTGTACTGCTTACCAGGCTCTTGCTCACCTGGTGACGGAGGAGGACCTGAAGGAGGGCAGATTGTATCCTCCTCTCAGCTCTATCGGAAAAGTCTCTCTCAAACTGGCTGTCAAGGTGAGAGCTCAGTGTACACGCAATAAAGAGCAGATGTACCTCACCATGTCTGCTATGTGAGGGCTTGTGAAACAGCCAAAACTTTTAATTTCTCAAAACTTGCTCATTACAGATTGTCGAGTATGCCTATGAGCACAACATGGCGACACTTCGCCCGGAGCCGTCCGACAAAGCAGCATACGTACACTCACTCACCTACAGCACTGATTATGATGAGTTTGTTATGGACTCGTACCGCTGGCCAGAGGACAGCATGACTGTGCAGTCATGCAAACTTTAATGCACTGGACAGGGAGACAGAATGAGCCCTTGAGGGGTGTGGTAACTACTGACATGCAATATCATCACAAGAAGTGATGTTGGCATATGAAACAGGGTGTGTGTAGAATTTTCTCATTTATATATTACTGTGAAATTTATGCTGACAACACATGCAGAGTTATTAGACTTTAATTTGAAGTCTCCCTCTCCAGTAGTGAAAAGCATGGTAGTTTAAAAATACATAGTCAACAAAATAGTGAATATATATAAATTGTTTAAAAAGGAGGGAAACTGAAAAAATGTGAAACAGAAAGCAGTTTGCAGGACTTATGAAATATTGCACTAATATTTGTTATCACGTTATATTTTACGGTAATATATTTGGGGAAAGTCCTTCACAGGTTATTTTTAATCGTACTGTAATAGGCAGTTACTTTATGACTGTGTTAGCTATAATCCAAGTCAAATAAAAATGGTTTTGATTAATGTTTTTCATGTCTGTTTACTACATTTTTACTGACAAAGGACACAGTTCAGGCTTGAGTGTTAGGCTTGGATATAAAAGGGACTTCTAATAAAAAATATTTAAAGTAGCCTCCATGGGTTTTATCATAGAAATCCTGTACAAAACTTCCTCTCACTGACACATTTTGGTATATTTCTGTAGCTGTATCATCAGTAAGACCAGACAGCATAGTGTATAATGTATCTTATAGTACTCTGGCTCCCTCCAAAGGCCAACTTATGTCATTGCGATATAGTTAGAAGCTTATGTTAGAAGAGCTTCATTAACAACCCCATGTAACCATGCAATATTTTTTTTTCAAAGTAAAATTTTCCTCAGCAGATTTTATGTAATTGAAATTTAATAAGTAAACTTATCAACTCTTTTCAGATTTAATCCATATGTACCATAATACGAATCAATCTCCATCATTTTCATGCAATTATAAAAACTAACAAATGGATTAATTATAGTATATGTAATCTATAAATTAGAGCCATACATACAGACAATAAGTGGTGGGTTTATGTCAACACACAATAAAAGTAGCAGGTGAATCAGACCGGTTTATGGTCCAACTATGTATTTGGTGTCTGTCCAGTGTTGTCTGATTTAAACTGAGGATGATTTTACATTAATGAATCAATCACTGGCCAGACAGTCAGTACCAGAGGCCTTGGCTGGCCTGCTGCCCATCCCAGTCCGAAATCAATAGAGAAGCAACCAGACCAGTCAGCGTTCAGTGTTGAGCGTCTCACCCCAGGCGAGCTGTAAAGAGACAAACATTTGTTTTACTCCTTGCTTCACACTCCCCTTTAATTCAGCCCTGGGCAGCCACCACGCTGACATTATGATCAATATGTGTCAATGTCAACACCATGCAGTTGTCTGCTGTCTATGGCATAAATGGCATATTTATATTCCAACAACTTTCCCTATAGATATTATATCTGCTTTACAGAAAAGAGAGGGAGAGATTTATTAAGGAAGACTGACATGTGTGGGTGAACTTTGAACCCTTCAGTAAATCACAGTGAGTTTTTGTTCCAAACACAAAAATGTCTACATCAGTGGTTTCTTTCTTTTAGCAGACATACTGTTACAGCCTGTCAAATGAACTTAATATCCCTTCATCAACACCAAAAGCTATGTTCCAAATGTGCTCTTAACTATATTAAAGTGGTATTCTTTAATGTTGGAAGTGTTTAGGTCAGTTTGGTCAAGTTTGCATTTTTACTAGTAGCAGAAGCTACATATTTCAACTAAAAACATTACTTTAAGCTTGATTAACTATGTCAACCATTTATACTTTTATCTAACTATATGAAATGTTTAACTTATCAGTCCATGTCGAACATTTTGAGCTATTCTATTTGTCTGTTACTTTTATAGATATTTCAGCATTTATCCGCTACTTTAGCTAGCACTGTTTGAACTGTTTATTTAGCTAAGTAATCACTTTTAGCTAACTATTTCCATTGTTTATCCTTTACTTTTTACTACTTTTATTATTATATGAACTGTTTATTTAACAATCTATTTCTACCATTGTTTAGTTAACTATTTCCACTGTTAGGAATCTGTTACTTTTAGCTCATTATTTATACTTTTATCCAGCATTCAATCGTATATTTCATCTCTATTTTTTTATCCATTACTTTCAGCTAACTTTTTCTACCTTTATCCATTCATTTTAGCTGAATATTTTGTAATGTTTATTAATATTTTTAGCTATTTATTTCAACCATTTATCCCTAACTAGTATTTCAATTTATTTAAATAAAATGTTTGCTGTCTAATTCACCCATTTATGCATAACTTTTAGCTAAGTTAACTTTATTCTCTGCTAGCTTGCTATCCAGTTTTCACACACTCATTCACAGTATGTGGCGTTCAGGTGTTACGGCTATATCTTTGTAATCAAATCATAATTTCTATTTTCTCCACTTAGTGAAGTTAGTCTACAATCTTTCCATGCAGGATTATACCCACTGGAAACTCACACCTGGAGCACATGTGCACCTGGTTGGGTCCCAGTGTTCTTCAGCAGGTCTATGTACGGTACTTGCTAATGCTTAATGTCAGTAAAAATACGGTAGATAGATAGATAGATAGATAGATAGATAGATAGATAGATAGATAGATAGATAGATAGATAGATAGATAGATAGATAGATAGATAGATAGATAGATAGATAGATAGATAGATATCTCCGCCTCACCCTGCAGCCCTCTGTGGCACCTTGCTGGTCACAGACAGGCCGGGTGACTGGCAGCTGTAACCCGACATAATGTTGACCTTGTTTACAGTTACACATTAAATGGCTCCTTGCTGAGACCTTGTGATCAGTGCCAATCAGTTAAGCCCCCGAGGGAATGTCGCTAGTGGGAGTCTGTCTACCCATCCTCCCAGTCGCCTGTCTGGCATTTAGCCCAAAACCCCTCTCCAATCTGCCCGACCACCACTGCTCACTCAGCTTGTCCTGCTACAGACATCATTTCATTTCTTCCTAGGGCCCATTATTTGGTCCTTTTCTACTGCCACAGTTTATGATTTATTTTATTTTGTCTAATTTGCCATTTCATCTTGAGGAAATATTGCAGACACATTACTGATTTATGTACTATTCTGACTTTAATTTAAAATTTCCTTCACTTGTAGTGGAAAGGTTGAAATCGTGAAGAAGAGCAACCACCCATAAAGACCAACAGAGGGTGCCCTAACATTGTTTGAGCAGAGATCAGTAAAAGGCCCTAAAAGGCACCATAGTTCAACATCAGTGACAATAATGATTTGAATACACACATTTGTCTGTTATTATCTCTCCTGGCCAGCACATTTTCTTCTGTCATTACCTTTTTCTATAGGTCTACTGAAACTTAATATAATGACACAAGATAATGACTAAATGCATTAAACCCCCAACTATAAATCACTGCATTTATTCTGGGCTAATTTCACCAGCTACATCTTCATATATGCCTGTATTGTTCCCAGTCATTGTATGACTGGGCCAGTGGATGGGCATTATACCCTGCATTATACTGGGATAATGATAGGTAAATTGGATAAAACCTATGTGGATATTATAATTGTCTATAATTGGCTAAATGGAATAACTTAGAGGATGGTAACACTTTACTTACTGCTGGTCTGTTAACTACTGAAAATGGCATTGTGATTAATGTATGCTGCTGTCTTGTAGATGGAGAAATTCAGACTTCAGGTTAAGGACAAATATGCGATCCAGCAGGATAAACTCAGAGAACCTTTTTAATGACATTTGATACTTGATGAATTTTTACCAAACCAAGATATCTTAGATCAATAACAGCAATATGTTTTACAGTTTACCAATACTTTTCAATCACCTGATCATTTGTAGTTGTTTGGACTACTACTATAGTATAACAATTAAAAAATATACTCAATTGTATGTATAGGCTTTAATTATTCACATATATTTTGTTATTGCATTATTCCAAATATAGGTCCAAATCAACATTTTATGTTAAATACTGTATGCAAACCACAAAGACTTAATGTAATTTATCTTTAATTGCAGCTAATCTTAAAGATTAGAACGGTTCTACCTGAAGCAGTATCTTCAAGTACAAATGCAGAAAAACTTGTAGTGACCCACAGAGCCGTAACGCCAAGGAAAGGAAAAAAAAGCATGTACTGTAACAAGTGAAGAGATTGTGAACTTTTTGGAAGTGCTTTGAAACCAGTTTGTTTCAGAACATCTGCTCCTTGAGTTGTAAAGCAGCACTGTAGTCTGCTGGACAACAGTTTACACTTCAAGGATTTTATACACACCAATACACCGCTCTTTGTTCTCACTCACAAAGAGCAATACGTGTCTGCGCTGATCAGATGAAGAGCGTCTCAAGGAAGTGCAAAATCAGACACAGAGGACCTGGAGGATGCTGCTGCTAGGCCGTATCTTTTGGTGACGGCTGTGTAGGGATGGGGCTTGTACGCTGGAGATGGAAAGGACAACCAGAAGACAGCAGAAGAGAGCCAGGAGATTTACAGCCTTGGTAACTACCACCACCTCACATACATGCCCAACCTGCAATGGAGTTTGTGGGTCCAAGATAGGACTGTCAGCCATCAGAGAACTCACTGTTAAAGGAGTGTATATTATTTCAGTGAAGATTGTCGAAGAAGACTGATTACAGAGTAAATATGAGCAGGCATCATAAAACTTGTCTGCTCAATATATACAAGTCACAACAAAATCAGAGCAGCAGTTTCACAGCAGCTAACATCACATAAAGGCAGGGTTTGAAATCCCAACATGCCTCTGAATCTTGCTGGTACAGTATGGAAACTGCCAATAATCCCAGAGGCCTTGTGCCACTGTGTCTGCTGTCAGGCGAGGCGAAGCAGTCATGTACGGTTTGACATAGTACACCTTTCTATGCCGCCACACCAAGTCTCAGAATATGTTAATACAGTGGAATGGTGTGGACACTATTTCACCTTGCTGAAGTGATCATGAGCAGCACATTATCAACCATGACCTCTGACCTCTCTATGGAGACCAGTCAGTAACCAAAAGGCAAGTAACCCTGCAGGATCGATAACACTGAAATCATAAATAGCATAATTAATTAAATTACTTTTTTCTTTATTTTGTATAACATATTTGTCTTTTTCAGAGGGCCAGAACCTACTGTGTATAAAGACAATGCAAGTCTTAGTATTATTTGTGGTGTGAGACAACAGAAGTTGATACACCAAGTGACCTTTATTTTCCTCCGCAATTTCAGTGCCCTGCCTGGCTGGTGGTGGACTGAATGAGGACAATTATCAACACCACCTCTGTTCAAGCAGCTTTATACAGTTCTGCTGTTCCCATTAATGAGTCTGTGACTAATTTAAAGGGACGTCTCTGTTTCGCAGACAGTTCGTGAGGCCTGCACGTCGCACAGGTTTTAGCCTGAGAGGCAGTGGTGGGCGCAGGTTTCCGACAGCC